CATGGTGTTCTCAGAACAATGGACTGACCACCCCAGATTTCAGACCTCAACGTCACTGAATCTGTTCACTATTATTGGGTCAGCAGAAGCTGAAAATGCAACCAACTTCTGAGACGGAACTTTGGAAGAGTGGAAAAATATCCCTGTAGTTATCGTTGAAAAATGCATATCTGGCTTTGGACAGTACTGTAAAAAATAAATATTCTTTGTATATTTAAAACTCTGCCCGATGAACGCAATGTCCAGATTATGTTCATCAAACACAGAGAGTCAGAATAAATATCAATCTGAGTGATGCTGAGAAGTTATTTCACTCAGGTTTTATTTATATTCCAGTAGGGGGCGCCCTTCATTCAAAAGCAGACCTATCTATTGTTCTCCTAAAGCCAGAGCAGCAGAGTCTCACATCACTGAGCTGTTATGCAAACTCTTCATCAAACTCCTCTATATGTAGAGTGAATGAAGGACAGTTTGTAGAGGATCTCCAGGTTTCTGGTGTCTCTGATCAGCTCCAGCTCCACAAACACCATGTTCCTCACGTCTTTACTGCTGCTGCTGATTGCAGGATGTGAGTCTGTTATCTCTCTCAATGAGGAACCAGATTAATGCAGTAAACTGACCAACCACATTTAACCTGCTGTGTCTTCGTGTCTCTGTTTAGGTGTCCACTCTCAGGTTGTTCTCACACAGTCTGAGAGGTCAGTAACAGTGGCTCCAGGTGGATCCCAGAAACTAACCTGTGCAGGCAGTGGATTCAGTGTCGGGGGTGCTAACATGCACTGGGTCCGACAGGCTCCTGGAAAAGGACTGGAATGGATTATTTACTATTATGATGAGAGTAACAAAAACTCAGCCCAGTCAGTTCAGGGCAGATTCACAGCATCCAAGGACAGCTCTAATCTCTACCTGCACATGAGTCAACTGAAGCCTGAAGACACTGCAGTGTATTACTGTGCCAGAGACTCACTGTGGTGGAACTCAGACAGACAGCTGTACACAAACTAGAGCACAGTATAAACAGAGGGAGGTGAACTCTGTAACAGCCTAATAAAGAGGATAATGCCATGAAAAGACAGACTAAGCTTGTCTGAAGATTTTTGTTTTATTAACTACATAATATGTTTATATGTAGGGTTGATATATTCAATCACTATTTATTTGTCATTATGACTGGTCCATACTCTGCTCACAAACATATTCTTCTATAATAATTGCTTGGTTGGACAAGCTTCACAGAATGTTGGCAAATTCCCTTTTAACCAAATGGGGAATTAATATATAAGGTAAATTTAATTATAATTCCTTAATCCTAAATGCTTGAATATACTTCACAATGACAATTCAATGTCATGTTTATGGACAGTTTGAAGGAATATGAAAAACAATTTAGTCCATATCAGAATATTTCTCCAGTGTCAATACTAAGTAATACACAGCTGGAACTGCATATTCTGCAGGGCAACAGTAAAAATAGATGTTTTATCAGGAAACAATACATTTCCCTGTGAATTTTTGACTTTGACTAGAAACTTTGAAATGAAATGAACACAAAGTTTTCCTGGAATTGATTGAATCTACGTCCAATTAGCCAGAAAAACAAAAGCAAAATCAGCTCAGCCAGATATAAACAATATTTTTCACTGTGGGAACAAAACCTTGTTAAAAATTGTTTAATATAATTCCAGCTGCTGTTTACATGGTGTCAATATTCTTTTGACAAGCAGACCAACAAAAATGACACAAAATGATGCAGAATAAAATCATTACATTTATTTACATTCATATATAATGAGCTACCATGACAGATTTTTAATACCACATTTTTTTAAGTGGTTGTTTTTCCTAGTTTGACCCTTTGAATTGTCCACAGTTCCTGCTTGAAGTCCAGCTGTTGGTGTGCTGTATGTATCTATGACCTTGTGACTGTGGCCCTTATTATAAACACAGCTTATAGCTGTCACCTTCTATTGATGGCTCTCTTGTTAAAGTTATTTGTACTTTCTGTGACAGTTTATAATCAAACTACACCTAAAATGTCATTTACAAGCAAAACACATCATTGATGCTGGCAATATCACTGATATCAGCACAGGTAGCACTGGAGGCAGTCTACACCGGACAGTGCTCACAGGAGGACTATGGATACATTAACGAGCAGCGAACTAAAAAAAATGAAACTGCAAAGTGGAAACATAAAGTTCCCCTTGAAACAAGACATAACAGTGGTATGAGAGTGAAAGGCTGCAATCATTAAACATTAGAACATGCAGCCACTGTTGCTCTTATTAGACGTGCTCTCATTGGAAACTGGATGCACACTGTTTCATGTTGGCCTTTTTTCACAGAATTGTATGGTCATATAGCTATAACACTGCTTTTAGATCTCTCTCTGGGATTTAGTGTGTGTTCAGCTAGAACAACTGAATCAACGGTGTTGCTGCACCACTGCTTTTGGATGGCAGCTGTAAAAGAGTGGGAATAAAAGACATGCCACCCTTACTGTCTTCAAACACTAGGGGGCGATTGGTAGCGTCATCTTTTCCTTTTGCAAAATTAAAAAAGACTTAAAACTTTAAGACAATCAATCAGGTTTCTTACTCTTTTTTGTGTGTGAACAGAATCAGCTACATTATAGAATCTCACTGTATCATTCAATCAATGTGAACTGGGCTTAAAACAGTACATTATTTACTGACATCACCATCTTGGCAAATATTCCCCTTCTGCTAAAGAAAAATGACAAATTCTCCTTTACAGCTGTGAGGAAACTCAGTGGGACGTTTATGACTGTGTGAACTCTATGCAAAGTGATTAAGGCCTCCTGTATGAAAAGGATTGTGTTCCCTTCACTCCACTGCAGATCAGAACAGCATCTTCAACAGACAGTCATGTTCTACACATTTCTGCTATTGCTGACCACAGCAGCAACCTGTGAGTCTCTTTATGGACTGCAATATAAACAATTACCAATATAAACCACACAATTCATCACTAGTTTTACCTGGAAACATGCAGAACTGATTGTTTGTATGGTATAAATGAACAAGACCATCTTTCTCTTTCTTCATTCCAGGTGTGAAATGTGATATTGGACTAATTCAGCCGAGTTCAGTGCTTATAAAGCCAGGAGGGTCTCTGACCATCAGCTGTAAAGTATCTGGTTATTCAGTTACTGATAACAGCTACGTGACAGGTTGGATTAGACAGCCTGCAGGGAAAACTCTGGAGTGGATAATCCACATCTGGGGTGGTGGGAGTATTTACCAAGAAGAGTCTCTGAAAAGCAAGTTCAGTATTTCTAAAGACGCCTCCAGCAGCACAGTGACTTTACAAGGACAGAACATGCAGCCTGAAGACACAGCTGTTTATTACTGTGTGAAGAGACCACCACAGTGATATAAACATATTCAAGACCCTGACAAAAACATCTGCATATACAGCATTCACACACACACAGCTAAAGACAGCATGTTCAAATTCCTAAAATGAGTATGATAAAATGTATGATATGCATGCAGACATTGAAATTCAGAACATATACAGCTAACAAACTCCAGATATTTATGTTTGTGATAAGATATAATAAAAGGCTTTCTTCTGGCACACCTATGAAGTTTATTAGTTTAATAAATGGTGGCATCTCTATAATCATCCTCACTGTGAGTAAAGTCAAAATACACATCATCTTCTATGCAGGTTTACTACAGCTCTGGTTGTTTTAAACTGCCCTGAATAACGGATATGAGAATTTTCAGTGGATGATGATTCCTGAAAATCTCAGATGAAATATGTACAGGATCATATTTCAGTCATAGGGTTGTGCTAAGAGTTCATTCATGTTTCAGTAGGTGGTGTCTAATGACTAATGTGCTCTGAATGCCAGTGCTGAATTTGTTCACATCACCGACTTGTTATGCAATTTTGTTATCAAATCCCTTCTCTACATATTGAGTAGTGTGGAGAGGTTTGGAGTTCATGACAGAAGAGAACTGAAGAACAGAGGGAGACAATAGAGAGAGGTGTCTTTCACTGGAATGAGAGATGTGAGGGGTTGGATATCAGAGGAAATAAATAAGAGTAAAGAGCTGTTTAAACATTCAGAACAGTGTGGATAACAGAACTGAAGTAACTATATGAACATGATCCCCCTGAAAGTTCCTTATTAACTACATTTCATAAAAGGTCCCACACTTTGAAGATGTTTTGAGAAGATTCCACTGACTCTGTTTGAAGACATGCTGGGATTAGTATATACAGTAATATGAACATATGTATGTTGTACATTGTTATTATAAATAAAAGTGTTGCTGCTTGTATATATTGAAAAAAGGGTGAAGAAGTGGAGCTTTACATGCACCATGTTAAATAATTTCACTCTGCTCCGTGTCTTAAATAGCTTTTCCTCTCACAGACCATTAAATAAGCAAATACAAGCTCCTCCCAGAATGATCTTTATTTTACAAGATGAGATCCTCTCAAGCTGTGGAGAACAGAGAAGATCCCACAGGTCCAACTTCAACACCAACCATGTTCTCTACATCTCTACTGCTCCTGCTGGCAGCTGCATCCTGTGAGTTACTCAGTTGACAACACATTTCACTCTGTCAGAATGCTACTTAACTTTTGTTTATGTCCAATAATATATACCTATATCTTTGTATTTTTGATCTACAGGTGTTCACTGTGAGGAACTGACTCAGCCTGGTTCCATGGTGGTCCGTCCAGGCCAGAGTCTGACCATTGACTGCAAGGTTTCGTATTCAGTTACAAGCTATCATACAGCTTGGATCCGACAGTCTGCAGGAAAAGCTCTGGAGTATATAGGATACATCAATAATGGTGGGAGCACAGCTTACAGTGATAAACTGAAAAACAAGTTCAGCATCTCCAGAGACACTGGAACCAACACAATAACATTACAAGGACAGAATCTGCAGACTGAAGACACAGCTGTGTATTACTGTGCGAGAGACTCACAGTGACACTAACTAATGAACACGACTTACAAAAACCCAGAGCTGATACTCAGGAGTCTGTTCACAGGAAGAGAACATTGCAAATGCTTATGTAATTTTAACAATTTATGTACGCAAAACACAACTAGCAATTTAATCAAAAACAAAAGTTTGACCCATTTGATTGACTCGATCCAATGCCCACATCAAATAAAGGTAATAGAAAAATTATATTCACAGGAATTGAAGGGAACATTGAAATGCTTATGCCTTTAACCATTTATGAATGCAATACACAACTAGCAAAGTCCTGCTAAAAAAATTTCATATACAGTTATTGTTGAATAAAGTTTAGGACAAGTTTGTGCCGATTCATCATTACAGACAAAATGACCCATTTGATTGTCACGATCTACTGCCAACATCAAATAAAGGTCATAGAAAAAAGATTAGTTCTATATGAACTAGAAGAAAATACATAAGAACAAAGTCCATTTACTGTAAAGCTACATCACTCCTGTGCTTGACTTCATGTAGATAATGATGATTCATTAATCAATTCACAGTTAGAGGAAATAAACTGGATCTGCAGACCATTCTGATTTTATTGCACAAAGGGAAAATCTGGTGAAGGGGGCAGATGCTTCTACCCGAGGTAAAAAGACCAATCTTGCAATAACTTGACATATTTGTTTTACAGAATGTAAAAATCAAACAATATATACACTTTGTACTTTTCAAAAAAAAAATTCAAGGTAAAAAACTAAAGAAAGAAAGAAAGAAAGAAAGAAAGAATAAATAAAAAGACAGTGAGGCCTCTATCAATATATGTTTTAAGAATACCACTACATTTTAATAAGCTAAGACAAAAAATAATTAATAACAGTAATATAGAAATATTTGAAACAGCTTTTTTTTTTTTCATTTATCAAATAATTATATTAACTGAATAGAAACTTCATGCATATTTATTCAATGGCCTTCTTCTTCTTAATATTCTTCTTCTTCTTCTTCTTCTTCTTCTTCTTCTTCTTCTTCTTCTTCTTCTTATTATTATTATTATTGTTGTTGTTGTTGTTGTTGTTGTTGTTATAGTAGAAGTGTGGCAAAAATAATATCAAAAACTGTTTTAACAGACCATAATCAACTCCTTTATGACTGTCTCATGAAAATTCACCTTAAAAATATTTTTGGGGCAGTGGTGTAAAGCAAGATAATAACCCAAGCACATTACTGAAAAGATCAAGACATACTTATTTTAAAAATAAGCTGCTGGTGGTCTCAGGTCAGTGGACTTACCACCCCAGGAGAGGCGGTAAAATATCTCTGTAGATTCTTTGAAAAACTGGAAGCACCTCTGACGTTTGCATGATACTGCATATTCTGATACTAAATATTCTTTGTATTTTTAAAACTCTAGAAGTTTCAAAATGTACTGTATTTTGTGCTGATATTACAGACATTCACCATTACAGTAAGATTTGAATTTATTAACACTGACTGAATGTAATGTCCAGATCATCTCCAACATCAATCAAACACAGGTTCAGACTAAACGTCTGTCCAATGCTGGGAAGTTCATTCACACAGTTTTATTTATATTCCAGTAGGGGGAGCCCTTCATTCAAAAAGCAGACCTGCCTATTGTTCTCCTAAAGCCAGAGCAGCAGAGTCTCACATCACTGAGCTGTTATGCAAACTCTTCATCAAACTCCTCTATATGTAGAGTGAATGAAGGACAGTTTGTAGAGGATCTCCAGGTTTCTGGTGTCTCTGATCAGCTCCAGCTCCACAAACACCATGTTCCTCACGTCTTTACTGCTGCTGCTGATTGCAGGATGTGAGTCTGTTATCTCTCTCACTGAGGAACCATATTAATGCAGTAAACTGACCAACCACATTTAACCTGCTGTGTCTTTGTGTCTCTGTTTAGGTGTCCACTCTCAGGTTGTCTCACACAGTCTGAGCGGTCAGTAACAGTGACTCCAGGTGGATCCCAGAAACTGACCTGTGCCTGCAGTGGATTCAGTGTGGGGGGCTATGGCATGAATTGGATCCGACAGGCTCCTGGAAAAGGACTGGAATGGATTATTTACTATTATACTGAAAGTAGCAAATACTCAGCCCAGTCAGTTCAGGGCAGATTCACAGCGTCCAAGGACAGCTCTAATCTCTACCTGCACATGAGTCAACTGAAGCCTGAAGACACTGCAGTGTATTACTGTGCTAGAGGCTCACTGTGGTAGAACTCATACAGACAGCTGTACAAAAACTAGAGCACAGGATAAACAGAGGGAGGCTGAACTCTGTAGCAGGTCAATAAAAATATCCTAGTTTGACTGCTTTTCTTTGCAATTTTGTTCTTTTGGGTTTGACCAACGAGGCACACAGACAAAGAAATTCACCGAGCTCATTTATAAACCCTCAGATTAGAGGGATCATTTGAAAGAGTGGAACCTGAACTGAAAAGGTTCTACTTTTAAGCTTGTAATAATGCATCGATCCACTGTTAGATTTGTTTTCCAGTGGTTGTTCCATAGTTAAGGGGTGTTGTTATGTACAATGTAAAACCTTGAGTGAATTCTTGCTGTTATAAAACAGCAAAATGAAATGATGCATTACATTTTGATCACAATAAACTTTTTTACCAAGCAAAGAGTAAAGACTTTTGCAATTTAGCCAGATGCCAAAAATGAATTTGCTCACATGTTGCACATCAAATGTATTTTTATGGACATTGAAAATGGCAGTACTTCATTCATTATTTTCATTTTCAATTATGGCAAACTTTCATAGGCGATGTGAACTGACTGACCAATCACTGGCATTTCTGGCTTTGGCATGGCTGGATTTGGCATGACTGATCAGGCTCACAGTAACTAGAACATTTAAAGCCTAAAGGGTTAGGCTTTGTCATAGATTGTGCTGGCACCTGTAAAGCAGCTGAAAAAGTATCTCATAAAGTTTCAGGTCCTGAATAAAATGGTAAAACTCTCACTTTTTCACATTAGAAGTAGCCCAGCAAGTGTCAGTATTTGCCTTGATTATGAGGATGACATCAATTGGCACATGAAGACATTCTGACTGTTTGTTCAGTTTTTCTGCAGCATTAACAATTTGGGGGAAAAAAACAAACAAACAAACAAAAAAAAAGTCTAAGAAAATTTCACATTTCAGTGCCCAGTTATGCACATTGTGACTGGAGCGTAATGAACCTTTGAGTTCTTTATATTTAGTCATGGATGCCAAATAACAGGAGAATTTTTCTATATGTATCTGGCAAATTCATAGAAAATTCATTGCCATATATGCCTATAAATGAGTGTTTATAAAGGCTTTAAACATGACTAAGCCAAACATATTTTACATTATAAAACACAATTCAATGTAAAGTAATTAACCTGGTTGTCTTAAAATGTTGAGTTCACTGAACTTCAAATAATAAGATTACCAAATGTCAAACACAGATTATTGTTCTGTTGACTTACCAATAGAAGTTTCATTAACTTGAAACTTTAAGATAATCAGGTTTCTTACTTTTTTAAGTGTTTTCTTTTTCTGTGTGAACAGAATTATCTGTATTATAAAACCTTACTGTCTCATTCAATCAATGTGAAGACACAAGGGCTTAGAATACTATGTTATTTACTGACATCACCATCTTGGCAAACATTCCTCTTCTTCTGATGAAAAATGACAAATTCTCCTCCACAGCTGTGATGAAACTCAGTGGGATGTTTATCATGACTGTGTGAACTCTATGCAAAGTGATTAAGGCCTCCTGTATGAAAAGGATCTTCTTCCTTTCTCTCCACTGCAGATCAGGACAGCATCTTCAACAGACAGTCACGTTCTACACATTTCTGCTATTGCTGACCACAGCAGCAACCTGTGAGTCTCTTTATGGACTGGAATATAAACAATTACCAATATAAACCACACAATTCATCACTAGTTTTACCTGGAAACATGCAGAACCGCTTGTTTGTATGGTATAAATGAGCGAGACCATCTATGTCTTTCTTTGTTCCAGGTGTGAAATGTGATATTGGACTAATTCAGCCGAGTTCAGAGCTTATAAAGCCAGGAGGGTCTCTGACCATCAGCTGTAAAGTATCTGGATATTCAGTTACTGATGATGATTACGCGACAGGTTGGATTCGACAGCCTGCAGGGAAAACTCTGGAGTGAATAAACTACATCTGGGGTGGTGGGAGCATTTACCAACAAGAGTCTCTGAAAAGCAAGTTCAGTGTTTCTAAAGACGCCTCCAGCAGCACAGTGATTTTACAAGGACAGAACATGCAGCCTGAAGACACAGCTGTGTATTACTGTGTGAAGAGACCAGTACAGTGATAGAAACATACCCAAGACCCCGACAAAAACATCTGCACATACAGCATTTATACACCCAGCTAAAGAAATAAGCCAGCATGTTCATATTTATAAAATCAGTAGAACAAAATATGTGATATGCATGTAAACATTCATATACAGTGAAATTCAAAACATGTTCATGTATATTATCTGCTGATCGTAAATGTTCACATACTTCTGCCAATCACAAATATTTAATATTCGAATTTCCCTCAATAAATAAATGACCAAGTCTAATATTTTTGTCTCATTTGCTCAATTTGCTTCTCTTTATCAACTATTAGGGCTCATATAAAAATCTGATGTAGTTTTAGGTCAGATTTATGCAGAAATATAGAAAATTCTAAAGAGTTCTCAAACATTCAAGCACCACTAGACCACAGCTCCAGTTAAAAAGTCTCAGTAGCATCTAATAAACGTCAGATATTTATGTTTGTGATAACATAAAATATAAGGCTTCATTCTGGCATGCCTTCTATGAAGTTTATTGGCATTACCGTGGCATCTATTTGTAGTTTTGAAGACTCTGTAACCATCCTACTCACTGTGAGTGAAGACAAAATACACATCATCTTCTGTGCAGGTTTGCTACAGCTCTAGTTGTTTGAAACATCCCCTAAAATAATGGATATGAGAATTTTCAGTGGATGATGGTTCCTAAAATTCTCAGATGAAACATAAAAAAGATCGTGTTCCAGTTAAAGGGTTATGCTAAAGGTTCATTTCATGTAAGGTCCCACACTTTGGACCTGTTTTGAGAAGATTCCACTGACACTGTGTTTGGAGACATGGTGGAACTGTGAAGAGTCCAAACCTGTCACAAACAAGGGAGACGCTGTATGTCTGGAGAATTGAAGCTTTATTTCTTACATGCAGGTAATAGACATCTAACCACTCCATAAGACAGTGGACAGACACAATTTTAGAGGATAGACTGAGGCCAAGATTAAGTTTAGACTAGACATGACAATTGACAGGTTTGACAGATATTACCATGTAGGGAGAGACAAAATAGGGCAGAACCGAATGTTCCAGATACAATCACATGAGATTCCTGGTACAGTACACACAGTACTGAATATACTTACATATAGCAGAGTACTAAATATATTACACGGCAGTAGATTACTTCAGTTAGTATATATAGGGATATGAACATATGTATGTTGTACTTTTAATTTCAAATAAAATTGTTGCTGCTTATATAAATTAAAAAATGGGCCTTATCTTCAATAGCTTGCCCTCTCACAGGCCATTAGATAAGCAAATACAAGCTCCTCCCAGACCGATCTCTATTTTAGAAGATGAGATTCTCTCAAGCTGTGGAGAACAGAGAAGATCCCACAGGTCCAACTTCAACACCAATCATGTTCTCTACATCTCTACTGCTCCTGCTGGCAGCTGCATCCTGTGAGTGACTCAGTAAACAACACATTTCACCAACAATTTAAATCATGTTTATGTCCAATAATATATGACTAATAACTTTGTATTTTTGATCTACAGGTGTTCACTGTGAGGAACTGACTCAGCCTGGTTCCATGGTGGTCCGTCCAGGCCAGAGTCTGACCATCAACTGCAAGGTTTCATATTCAGTTACCAGTTATTGGACAGCTTGGATTCGACAGCCTGCAGGAAAAGCTCTGGAGTACATTGGATATATTGATAGTGGTGGGAGCACAGCTTACAGTGATAAACTGAAAAACAAGTTCAGCATCTCCAGAGACACTGGAACCAACACAATAACATTACAAGGACAGAATCTGCAGACTGAAGACACAGCTGTGTATTACTGTGCAAGAGCCTCACAGCGACACTAACTAATGAACACGGCTTACAAAAACCCAGAGCCGACACTCAACAGTCAAGATATTCACAGCTTAATACTTTTCCAATTGAAGGGAATATTAAAATACTTGTGTCATTTTAGCAATTTATGAATGCAAAACACAACCAGCAAAGTACTACAAAAAGAAAAGATTTAAAAATATTGTATTTATTTTTGAATAAATGTTAGAGCATGTTTGTGCCAATTAAACATAAAAGAAAAAAATATATATATTTGATTGACACAATCTACTGCCAACATCAAAATAACATTCATAGAAGAAGGATTAGTACTATATGAAGTACTCTCTTAAAAAGGATGGTTCTTCACGGGTTCTTTAGAAGAAAATGGTTTAGTATAGAAAATATTTCTATATAGAACCATGAACACCTAAAGAACTTTTTGCATGATTATAGAATTTTTTGCTTTGTGAAACTGATTGATTAATTTTCAGATTGATGGAGAATCAATTGAAAAGGGTTCTATATAGCACCAAAAAAAAGGGTTCCACTAGAGTTTCAAGCCAAAGAATCCTTATTTGGTACTACATAGAACCCTTTTGGCTAAGAGTGAAGAAGAAAATACCCTCCTCAAGAACAAAGCCCATTTAGTCTAAAGCTACATCATATCTGTGCTTGACCTTATCATGCAGATAGTGATGATGCATAAATCTATTAATTGTAGCAGGAAATAAACTGTAACAACAAATAGAAAATCTTGCAAAGGGTCTTTTCAGACCAATATCGGGGCAAGACGCCCCCTCCCTGAGATAAGAAGCCCAATCTTGGCATCTTGGTTTTATAGAATGTACCTATATATTATATATTTAGGCCTTTATCAATGTTTGTTTGAAGAATTCCATTTCATTTTTTAAAGCTACGACAAAAAACTAATAACAGTAAAACAGAAACATTTGAAACCTTTTTTGTTTATTAATTAAAGACTTATTGTGACTATATAATATATATATATATATATATATATATATATATATATATATATATATATATATATAATATATATAGCCTTCTGCTTGTTTTT